GGGGGGGGGGGGGGGTACCGAAGGAGGCAAAGCAGAGGCACTAGAGAGACTATCAACCCGTGCAGGGAGGAGAGGGAGTCCAGACCCACAGCCTGGGCAACCTTAGAAGGAGGCTGCCTGAGACACGAGTTCAGTACTTAGGAGTGAGTGCTCCTGGAAGCACTTCCCTCCTGGAGGGAAGTCTCCAGAACACACACTGTCCAAACCAGCGTCTGTCTCCTACCTCAGGTAGGAGATTCTTTAGATCTGACCTATGCAATATGTCTAAAGCCAAAGGCTGTCATTTCCTTGAGAGACTTATCTCCAAAATTAGACACAGGAGCAGTTTCCAGCTGGGACCAGTTGCCAGTCTCTGTGGCTCCCCTGAGGCCTTTGACTGGGTTGATGCTAGCCTTGCTTGAAACTCTGAAGCCCTTTGGAGACAGTTCTGTGCTCGCCCTGGCAGGGTGGCCACTGGTTACCTAACCTACAGCCTCTTCAGAACACAGACGCTTCAGTGATAGACGTCAGAAGGATTTTATTATAACAGTGTGTGTGTGTGTGTGTGTGTGTGTGTGTGTGTGTGTGTGTGTGTGTGAGAGAGAGAGAGAGAGAGAGAGACTGAGGGCATCTTCCTCAATCACTCTCCACTTTATTTCACTGTTTCACATTTACCGATTTACTCCTGTGAGTGGGTGTCTGTGCCTTCTGGGGTTGTATGGATGTCAGGGGACAATCTCCAGGAATCTACTCTCTCTTTCTAACTTGTGGGCTCCGGGCCCTCGGGCTTGGCAAAGCCTTTGCACATTCAGCCATCCTCTACCCTGTTGAAGGCAGGGGTGCCAACCGAGCTTGAGGCTCACCCATTCTGTTAAGCTGGTCGGCCAGGAAGAGCTCTGGGGATCTTCCGGTCTGTACCTCCTCAACACTGTTACATGGGGCCGGGGTGGGGCTTGAACTCCTGTCGTTAAGTTTGTAAGGCAAACACCTTAGACTGATCTACAACCTCCACCCCCATTGTTAATGGGTGTGCTTACACCAAGTGAGATTTGTACAACTGTCTGTTACATAAAATGCTTAGAGTGGGAAGAGGGAGGAGGGGGAGCAAGCATGTCATGTTTCTAAGATCCTCAAGGGAGAATGCCAAAAACCTGCCCCTCACACCCTTGGAGACCTGTCTTCCCACCGTGATGGAAGTTAACCCTGTCTCGCCTACTGCAGCTCAGAAGGCTTGTCCCCGGCTGGGCCGGCTGTCAATCTTGCCCTTTACTCCTCTGGACTAGCTCCCCCTCCCTCTCAGCAGCTCCCCAAGGGCGGGTTTACTTACTGGTGGGGTCCGGGGTCTTGCTCACAGCGTCTGTCCCAGGGGCAGGCTGAGGCGTGGGCGCCTGCGGCGCGCCACCTGCCCCCCTCCTCTGCTACCGCCAGGAAGGGAGCCCCAGGCTGGGGACTGTGCCGGGGCAGCCGGCCGGGGGCCCCACCTTGCAGTGGGTGGGCCTCAGGGAGATCTGGAAGCGCGACGTCGAAGCCCGAGCGGAAGATGTCGGAGGAGGGGCTGGCCTCGGCTACCATCGCTAGCCCCAGCCTGGTGCAGGGGGCCGGGCGGAGACTGAGGACCAGGTGGTTGCGGCCTCCGTCCCAGCTCGGAGGCAGGGGCCCGCACGCTCCGCGGCCGTCCCGGCTGGGGAGCAGGAGGAAGAGGCAAGCCTCGGCCGCGCTGGGGGCGTAGTAGCGCGAGCCCCGCAGGGAGTCCAGGACCCTGCGGTGGGCCTCCTCCGCGGCGCTCCCGCCAGCCGGGGGGTGCACGAAGGTCCTGAGGACACCTCCCTGACATCTGGAGGGGTCGAAGCAGGTTCCCCAGGTGCAGCCGCTCCCCCGGGGAGCACGAGGAAGCTCTGGGACCTCTGGGTGCGTCTCAGACTGGGAGAAACTCTGCAGGAAGGCAGCGTCCAGCCAGCGGGGCCAGCCCTGGGAGCGCCCCGGTAGAGGACCCGATGGCACCGCCCGGCGAAGGGGGAAGACTCCCAGGAGAACGAGGAGGAGCCCGAAGACTGACAGCGCCAGCCAGAAGCACTTTCTTCTCCACAGCGGCATGTGGCCACCCACAGCCAGGGCTAGAAGGAAGTTAGAAACTTCGTAGCAAGTGGGGAAGGTGGGAACCCCAGGCAGGAGAGAGCAGCTGGGGGAATCAGCTTTCTGGTCCAGCTCTCTCACGGTGCTGCTGCGGAAGGCGAGACTGCGGACCCCTGGAGAGTTCGGCCCGCTGGCGTTATCATTGGCCACCTGTGGGACTGACCCCTCGCGGGAGGCCCAGGGAGGCTCTGGCTTTCTGAACTCGCCTCCCCACTCTCACATCGATTTCTCTGCCTTCCCACAACCAAGCCAACCTAACCTTGCCCTCTCTCATCAGGGCCCTCTGCCCTGGGCCACTGCTTGGGCTGATGCAACCGTTGTCCGGACCACAAGACCTTGTCCATCTGCGCTCAGGGCTGCAGCCCCTGACCTTACCCTTGCCCCAGAGGCAGGCTGTCTGCCAGACCATGGGAACTAGTCTGGGTTCACGGGGGTGGGGTGGGGGGAATGGCCGAGGGTGATGTGGAAGGAAGCAGGATTGGTCTCTCCCACTCTTCCCTCTGCCCCAACAGCCCTTGAAATCCCCTGGCTATCCCTGTGCTTGGTGGCTGGCCTTCTGTGGCAGAGCTAAAAATAGACCTTGTGCCCATGTGGGCCACCGGGGCCGGCTGGAGTTAGAGCTCGGGTGCAGCCCATGCCTGCTGCCCGGGCTGCCTGGAATGAGAGGATTCTGGGGTGCTGGTCTTCTCTCCCTCTGCTATGGTCCCTGACCCGGGCAGCTGCCCTGCACCCTACTGCTGGGAGCTGTCAAAGGGCAGAGGCCGACACCTACGCTCCAGTTCCCGCTCCTGGCCCCGAAGCGCAGCCGGCAGCTCCAGGTCTCACTCCAGCAGGCTCGGCTGGGTCCAGATCTCTTCCCTAGCTGCAGCCCGGCTCCGCCCCCGCCAGCCCTGATTGGCTCCCGGCTAGGAGGCTGGGTCTCCATTTAACCCATTGCAATCTCTCTTCCTAGGGGGTACTATTTCGTTTTGTTTTCATTTTGAGCCAAGGTCTCCCGTAGCCCGAGCTGGTTCCAAACTCACCTTGCAACCAAGGACCTTGAGTCTCTGATTGTCCTGTCTTCCCCTCCTAGGGTTCAGATTCCAGCTGTTCGCCGTGACGCCTGGCTCTGGAAGACTAATACTGGCCAGGAGGGCACCACTGGTGGCTAGGCACTGACAGCCTGTTTCTCTTCACGTTCTTTACCAGTGATCCGAAGTAGACATTTATCTGTCATTTATCCCTTTTATTATTACTGTCATTATGTATTTTAACATTTTATTTCATCATCCTGGGAATAGAACCCAGGGCTTTGTGGACGCTGGACAAGTATATATATATATGTTTTCTATTGAGAAAATTGAAGCTCAGAGAAGGGATGGGCTCTCCCTAAGGTGATCCAGCTTAGAAGTGTTCAGGAGAAGATTTGAGCTCAGGGCCTTCCCTGATGGGGCCTCTGCTTGTGCCCCTGGCTGCTGGGTGGGTCTGGGCAGTGGCCACCTGCATCTATACCATGGATGAACAGCATACTCCTTAGAGTTGCCAAGGGAGGTCTTAGAAGAGCCCTTGGTAGGGATGTCCTTCCCCTGACCTGGGAGGGCTGCTGATGTGGTAAGGGAGCCAGCCACTACGTGACCATCCGTTCCTTTGTTCCTCGGTGAGTAGCCAGACTGAGGGCGGGGCACAGCTATGTACCCAGGAACATCCTGAAAATGGAACCAAAAGGAGGCTGGGCTCTTGGCACTAAGAGGTTGATTGCTCAATGACAGACACCTGCTCAGGCGAACCCTAGGCCTTCTCACAGAGGAGACAGGTATGAGCTTGTGCTGTTGCCATCTTGCCAAGCTGACTTCCTCACCCACTTGGAATTGGTGGAAGGTTCCCTTCCTGCAGGAAGCTGCCATGAGTCTCCTTAGTCAGAGCCAGGACCTTTCTCAGGGTCCTCATGCTCCTTCCCCTCCTTCCTGCATTCACATTCGTTCATCTAACAGGCCCTTAGCATCCTAACTTGGACCAGGTTCCCCGGGGAAGTATCAGGCTGAAAAAGGCTGAGTGTTATGTGACCATGTCCTGAGCATGCAAGAAATGACTATAAAGGAGATACGACTATTATTCCCATTTTATATAAGAGAAAGTAGAGGCTCAGGGACCTCGAATAACTGCCTGTACTGCCATGGCTTGGCCAGGTAGTAAACCATCTTATCTATTTCTCTTTTCTTTTATTCTGAGGCAGTGCCTCTCTGCATAGCCCTGGCTGTTCCAGAACTCATTATGTAAACCAGGCTGGCCTTGAACTTTCGAAGATCTGCCAGTCTCTGCCTCCCAAGTGCTAAGAATAAAGGTATATTCCTTTTTTAACAATTATACTTATTTTTAAATATGTGTGTCTGAGTGTTGGCCTGTGTGTGTGTGTGTGCTGTGTGTGCATGCCTTGTGCCTGTGGGGGCCAGAAGAGGGTGTCAGATTCACTGGAACTGGAGTTACAGGTAATTGTGAGCTGTCATGTGGGTGCAGGGACCCAAAGCTGGGTCATCAGCAAGAACAGGTGCTCTTCTCCACTGAGCCGCCTCTCAATCCGCCACCCATTCCTGTAACCACCAACCAAGGCAATCTGCTGAGTGAGAGGGCCCCTCCTCCACCCCCCTGCTGTTAGAAGGAGACAGCAGTATTTGAATGAAGGGACCCGGCAGCACACAGGGGTCTGATGAACCCAGGGGCAGAGAGGTCCTCTGAGAGTGACAGGTCAAGACCAGAAAGGAAGCAAGGTTGTTTGCGCCTTGTTTTGCTTTGTTTGGGCTGCCCTGGAATAGAAGCTACGCAGCTGCTCCCCAACTGAGCTACCTCCCAGGTTCATAGCAGTTTTTGTTTGGTTTGCTTTGGAGACTGGCCTTGCATTAGCTGTGTAGCCAAGAACGACCTTGAACTTGTGCTCCTCTTGCCTTGAGCCCCTGGGTGCTGCTCCACCAAGGCATGCTCCACCAGGCATGCTCCACCAGGCCTGGGTCATGTGATGTCACATGTAACCCTGGGCCTCATGAATGCTTCCGGAGGACCTTACCGACAAGGCCACCTTCCCAGCTCCAAAATAAATTTTTGGGAAAAGTCACTATCACAATGAGGGAGTGAGAGGAAATGGTCACCTCCTCATTCCACAGTTGCTTAATGAGCTTCATCCTGGGGGCGAGGCTGCTTTGAGGAGAGCAGGTAGCTGATAACATCTTGGCCTCCTGAAGGCTTCTTTCTGGGCAGGGGAGGAATGTCAGTGTCCAGGCTTCACTATGAAGGGGAAAATTGCTCCAGACACAGGGACAACCAGGGCACGGGTTTAGGGGCAGGAGAGTAGACATGTGACCTGTTTTCCCAGCAGCACACGCAGACTCCAGGCACGCTATCTGGGGGGAGCAAATGCATGTGCAGTGTCTTCCCCAGGGAAAGTTTAGTCACACAACATCGATACCCCGTCATGCTCTGACTGCCACCCTGCCCCCAGCTCTCTGCTCATGGCTGGCTCATGCTGGAAGCACTCTCCCTTTGCATTGCAACACACACACACACACACACACATACACACACCCTCTTCACCTTCATTCCTGCAGGGGAGGTTCTCAGGCCAGCTGGGCCTGGGCTTGTCTAAACCAATTCCCAAGCTTGCTTGCAGGCTTGGGTGGAGGCAGAGATGAGGGGTGTCCCGAGCTCGTGCTGAAAACTGGCTTTTGGGCTGTGCCAAGGGCTCCCGGGGAACCTGTCGGGTTCTTTAACACTCATCAAAGGCACTAAGAGACCCGTGTCCTGTAGCTGGATGCTGATCTAAGGAATGGAAGCCGTCATCCTGGGGAACAGGGAGTGGCCAGGGCGGGAAGGCGAGGGCACAGTGAGGTAGAGTGAGAGGCCTGGGTTCAGTGGGGAGGAGGTGAGGCACCTTTTTGTGTGTGATCTTGAGAACTAAGCAGCGCTCCTGGGCCGCTGAGCGCAGTGGTGTTTGCCTCCCGGCTGTCTCGGCTCAACCTTCCATCCTGGGGATGTGTGTCACTTCTTGCCTGAGGCACGAGGCGCACAGAGAATGGGAGCTAAGGCCGCCTCCATGGAGTTCAGTCTGGGGCCCTCCCATCCTCCTTCTCATTTTCTCAGGCTGGGCCTGCAATCCTCGGAAAGGCTTCCATGTCCTTCTGGGAGGGAGGCCCTAAGAATGAACAAGCCCTATGGTTGACAATATAGCCCAAATGTCCCCAAGAATCTGTGTCTTCCTAGGCAAGTGAATGTCCCCTCTCCGTGCTTCTGTTCTCTCATCTGCACCATGGGGATGCTCAGAATAGCTGTTTCCCAAAGTGGGGTGAGGTGGCAGGCATGCAACAGTCTGCAAAACATACCCCCACTCGGCACACAGATGGCATTCCAGGGGCTGGAGGCATGGCTCAGTGATAGAGCACTTGTCTCCTTTGCCCAAGGATAAGGGTTCAGCCTCTAGCTGTGCCTCTGCAGGTGGTCCGTCCCGTCGTGTCAGCTCTTGTCATCTCCTCCCGTGTCATGATGTTGTCGCCCTCCTCTGCCACTTGGCACAAGCGACAGACTCCAGCGGTTCTCAGCCTTCCCAATGCTGCGACCCTTTAATACAGTTCCTCGTGCTGTGGATCATTCTCATGCGCCTCCCTGACAGTAATCTTGCTACCGTTATAAATAAGCAACCCCTGTGAATGGGCCGTTTGCTCTCGAAAGGGGGTGCTACCCAGAGGTCGAGAACCACTGATAGAGTCTTCTAGGAAGAGGGGACCTCACTTGGAAAAGTGTCTCTATATGATTAATCTGTAGGCAAGTCTATGGGGGCATTTTCTTTCTTCTTTCTTTCCTTTTTTTTTTTCAGTGTTTAGAGACAGGGTTTCTCTGTGTAGCCTTGGCTGTCCTGGAACTTGCTCTGTAGACCAGGCTGGCCTCAAACTCCTGGAGATCTGCCTGCCTCTGCCTCCCAAGTGCTGGAATTAAAGGTGTGTGCCGCCACTGCCCAGCTTTGGGGGCATTTTTTTTTCTTTTTTTTTGGGGGGGGGGCATTTTCTTGATTAGTGAATTGTGTGGTCCTGAGCTGTATAAAACAAAAAGCTGACTAAGCCACGAAGAACAAGCCAGTAAGCAGCCTTCCTCCATGGCGTCTGTTTCAGTTCCTGCCTCCAGGTTCTTGAGTGTCTGCCCTGCTGTCCCTGTCCCTGAGTGATGGACTATAAGCTATAAGATGAAGTAAACCCTTTCCTCTCCAAATTGCTTTTGGTCGGGTGTTACCAGAGCAACAGAAAGCAAGCTAAGTCTTCAGTCAGCTCATACTGATGACTCACCCAAGGACACCGAGGCAGACCTTAGAGCAGACCAGGACCTGGACTTGGGACTCCCAGTTGTCTAGGATTGCTTTCATGCTGTGACAGACCATGACCAAAAGCAGCCTGGGGAGGAGCGGTCTTCTTACAATGCTCAGGTCACACTCTATCCCTGAGGTAGAGGCAGGAGGCTTGACAGTCGGAGCTTAGATAGGGATGGATGTAGCTCAGTTGGTCGAGGCTGACCCACCGCGTACAGAGTGCTGGATTCCATCCCCAGCGGCCCATAAACCAGGCCTGGTGCTGAACATCTGTAATCCCAGCACTTGGGAGGTGGAAACAACAGGATCATAAATTCAAGGTCAATTCGTAGATGGCTCTGGGCTGCGTGAGAACCAGTCTCTCTCTAAACAATGAACAGTGGTGTGAGGCCTGCCAGGCATGTTTGCAGCTTGTGTTTTATTCCACTCAAGTCCACCTTCTAAGTGGGCAAACCTGGACACTGCCCTCTATATAGGTCTCTGCCTTCTGTAG